CGTGGCAGTCCGGCATGGTAACCGTTCGACCACGGAGGCAGTTAAAAGTAACACTTTCACGTGTATTTCAAAGAATCTGAATCGATATCTCGTCACTTTTGCCAACAATATTGTTTTGAATAACATCGTAAAATCGTATTCGAAAAATGGTAGTTAAAAAGTGAGGTTATGTTTTAATTATACATCATTGACTTACAATTATATGGACGTCGGGTCCGCGCTAAAAAGTGTCCGCACTTGTAAGGCGCTAAAATCGTATACAGAGCGCCACACTCCGCTTTAGTCTTCAATTGTTCGACAGACAGCGCGATACTGCGATGACATTACAATTTGAATTTCGAATAGGTTGACTTGGGACATTTTTCTTGGTTTTTGTATTAGACCCGTCGTCCATTTATTTGTAAGTCAATGTTATACATGCATGAATTGGCCATGGTTTTTTTTATAACATCAAGTGACGGGACGATCAAGTCGTGCGCCTGACGGTAAGCTACACACCTGTCCATAACAGTTACAGTACCATTCAGAGCTTTAAATTGCAAAGATCTGAAGGGCACTACCTCTGCGCCCGTCACCCTGAGACATAAGTTGACAAGTCCCATGTGCCTGTAATTTCACAAGCACACTTACTCTTCTAAACCGGAACACAGTAATGCTGACATTATTGCTTGGCAGCAGAAATGGGTAAGGTGGCAGTGCTTCCCTGGACGAATTCTTTCACAGGGAGCTCTATTGCTACTAAATATTTTAGGGATTTTAGGCTGGACGGAAAAAAAACCATTCGATTCATTCAATTAAAGTAATTGTAATCGACTAATAAGTCAAAAATAAGAAATTAAGATAGTATGACTCAATTAAACAAATCGACTCATTCAATTAATCAATTAATTTGTAGTTGGCAGTAAAATTGGCCATCACTAAACCGTCTTATGATCGCGTCAGTGACTTGTTTGTTTACTTTTTGTTTAAAATGGTTTGAAACTAAGTATAAATATATCTAGTTCTTAGGAACAGGAACTGTAGTGCAGTCGGAATGCTGCGTTTGTGTTGTTTATTTGATTTGAAATCTTTTTCGTTTGACTTTAAGGTTGGAAGTGTGCGGCAACAGCAATACGTTTTAGCCACACCTGGTCAAGCAGCTACTCCTGTATCACAAGTAAGTGTTTTATGGGATGAGGATAAAGATGTTAAATAAACATTGTATTGTTAGTTTTGCAATGTTCGTGTTACGAACGTCCGTATCGTGACTGGTTAGTCAGAGTCAAAAAATCAATGATTGGGTAAAATAAATTTACACTTATTTATAAATAGAAATAGTATTTTTTGCAATCGTTGCATAATAAGGTTTCTAAAGCCTCGTGGCCAAGTAAAGGATACAAGATTTCAAGACCTAATTACGTAATAATTCCGTAGAAACTTTTTCTACGGGCAAACGAAAACAATGAAAAAAAAAAACCAATATTTGAAAATTATTTGATAACAATCTACGAAGTACCACTTATATTTTAACCAATCAGGAGGCAGTACAGCGTTAAGGCCCATTTAGATGGAGACAGTTTATCGCACGCTTCGTGTCGAAAAATCGTACGCGATTATCGTAAGCAATAATCGCCATAAGATTA